GGTAAAATATAAGATGATAATAATGAGTATATTAATAAAAAATAATTTTTCATGTTACTCTTTGCCAGAAAATTCTAAGAATTTCTCATGTATTTATCATTAACTTTCCTTAAAAATGTTATGAGATTTGGAAACTTTTATTACCTCTGTTTTACAGATGAAAATACAAATGCAAAGTAATTTGCTCAATGATACACAGCTTTAAAAGTATGGAAGCTGTAATTTTGAACCAGATTAATTGTTTCTAAAGTCATTCTATGGTAAAAGATGAATAATGATGAATTACACTGGAGCATGACAAATAAATGTCTTGAGAGCACACAAAAAAATCATCTTGACATCCAGCAATCGGGAAAGCCATCAGGGAGGTAACATAGGCAAAGTGTCTGGATAGCTTTATGCCTTTGAGGTGGCTGGTCCACTCCCACATACATGGTTAGCAGGCACCATACCATCAGGATAAGTTCTTGACATCCTGTCTGCAGGTATGAGCACCAAATCTTGAGCAACTCTCTCAACTCTCCTGACCCAGTTCCATATGTCCTTTGCTCCCTGTCTCTTGTTAGTATATTGACAGAAGACTTTCACTCATCACATTGAATATTGCTGGCCATTTCTCCTCCACTAACAATTTTGTCTTTCAGCTTGAGTTTGACACCCACAGGTTCCTTGGTCCAGTTTTGTCTAGAGTCATTTGGACTCTGCTACAGTGAAGCACCAACCTCATCCCTGTTCAACTCTTAGGCTGGGACAGTCTTCTTCCCAGTTAATCTCTTGAACAAGAAAGTAGACATGGAGTCCTCTTAATTTTTCATTGTTAGTTTTTCTAATTTTGACAAAGCTACTTTGAGTGCAAACCCAGATTTCTAAAATAAGAACAAGTGCAGTCATAAAATTTACCATCTCTCTAAAGAACAATGTTTTTTTATAGTTCACTGTACAACATTTGCTCAAAACAGAAGTGAATCAATAGTATTTTATTGGTCTCTTTCACACTAACTCTTTGTTAATGGCACACTAAATCTTGTTACTTTGTTGAACTTCATTGCAGAGACCCTATAACATGTATTGGGATATCCAGGGCCCAAAGTTTGGGGTTAAGGAGTCTGATTGTGGAGGAAGGTCAAGTACAAAAAGGATGGGAGATAATTCTTGGATCTACTTTCCACTATTCCTGGTTTTACACAGAAGATGCTTAGTTTTGTTCATTCAAGTCATACAGTAGCCTAACCAAAAAATCTGCATTCCCAAATACATTATTACCATGCCGCTCCCCATTCATTTTCAGGTGTAGGGGAAAGCAAAGTAAATGCGATAAAATGAATGATGAAATTAAAAAAAAAATCATTGAGCCTGTAAAGCTTGTGGTTTTACCTCTAATTGTTTTCCATTTCTTCCTTATCCATTTTGAACTGGCATTTTTTCCTCTAGAAAGCTGAGGAAGGCTTCTTTTCAATGACTTTAGCTATTTTCCTCTCTCCATTTGCCAAATCTAAGTATACTAAAGGAATTTCATACTTAATGATTAGAATTGATCACTAAATTTGCTAGCTCTGAAAACAATCTATTTTATATGTCAAAAACTTTATTTTTCTTCACAATCCCAGCCTAATGGGAAAACAAAATGAAGAGAATAGTCTAAAACAAAAAAAAAATCAAAGCAATTCAATGGAACTATTATTTACCAAACACAAAACCACCAAACACATCAATAATATGCCTCTTACCCTTTAGGCATCACCTTCCAAAACATACTTATAATTTTCATGCATTTATTCATTTAACAAACGTCCCCCCCCAAACCAACTATAAACCAAACATTGTGCTAAGTACAGAGCATATGGAGATGAAAAAGACATAGCTTTTGTCTACAAGGAGCTTCTAAACAAGAAAAAGAAACCAAGTACTCACAATATAGTGGATCCAACAAACTTGTTTTCTGGAGCCTGACTGCTTGTGTATAACTCTTGGTTTTGTTACTTACTAGCTCTCTCAACCTCAGCTTCCTCGGTGAAGAAAGAAAGATATAGAAGGGTTCTCATCCCATGTGTTTGTTGTTAAGATTAAATGAAATAAGGTGCACATGCTTCGAGCAGTAACTATCTTACAGGGATCAAGAATTAATTATTATTGTGAACAATTGCTACTTCACAATACTAAAACACTCTCACATGCACTCACAAAGGTTTAGAAGCCATGGGGCATTCAAATACAGTGGTTCAAAGGAGAGATGATTTATTTTTATTTGGTGTTAGAAGGATGCTCAGGAAGACTTTAGGGCATTTGTGGCAGACAGTAAAGAAAGAATGTGATTATAATTTATTGAGATGAGGCAGGACACAGGAGATGGATTTAATTTTATTTTGAGAATGGAGTAAGTGTTGCTTTCCAGAACTGTAGAATTTGACACCCCCCCCAAATATCTAATGGGGTTTTCTCTAATCAATGGTATTAGCAATTTCTTCCTTCCTTCCTTCCTTCCTTCCTTCCTTCCTTCCTTCCTTCCTTCCTTCCTTCCTTCCTTCCTTCCTTCCTTTCTTTCTTTCTTTCTTTCTTTCTTTCTTTCTTTCTTTCTTTCTTTCTTTCTTTCTTTTCTTTCCCAAATTCTAAACTTGGGTTCTTCTATCTGGTGGAAAAACAAATGGGCTTTTAGATTCTATCAAGTCCTGTCTAAATTAAGAATAACTACTACTACTTCTTCTGCTACTAGTCTGTGCTAGTTTATTTACCTACTTGGATGTGACTCTTTTGGGGTATCTACTGAACACCAAAGATGGTCAATGATTTCTAATTGATTATGGTGAGAGAAAAGTCTGTTGTAGCTCATGCCATTATGGCTAAAGCAGAAATTGTTCAAATTGGCATCTGATGGATTTAAAAATGTCCCAGGTGACTCTAATAGAAAGCCAAGTTTGCAAACAATTAGTTTAGGCATAGTAGTCATCTCCTTCCCTATGCATTTGGAAAGTTCTTCATAGGAGTAAGGAGGTGGTTTTTCTAGCCAGTTTAAGTGATTATATGAATGGTTGGAGCCAAGACCTAAAGATTTCTGGGACTTAAATTGCACTAAAGTAAAGCAACAGGAATATACATGCTCTACACTTGGACAATATAAATAAATAAACAAAACTGTCAGTTCCATCTGCACACAGTGGGAAATGTTCTCACAAACGACATTAGAATAACCATGTGTGGTTTTGCCACCCAGTATTCCTTCAGACGTCTTATCCTTGAGACATACCTTATCCCATTTAAAAATGAACCACAAGAAAAAAAAAAGTTAGAGAGGGAGAGAGGCAAACCATAAGAGACTCTCAAAAACTGAGAATAAACTGAGGGTTGATGCGGGGTGGGAGGGAGGGGAAAGTGGGTGATGGGCATTGAGGAGGGAACCTATTGGGATGAGCACTGGATGTTGTATAGAAACCCAATTTAACAATAAATTTCATATTAAATAAATAAATAAATAAATAAATAAATAAATAAATAAAATTAATATATAATGCAAGATATAAAATAATGTATAAATAAATAAATAAGAACCATATATCTGCATCTATGAGTTCAATTCTTTCAAGCTTTTAACAGGCAAACAAAATACCCTGTCCAAACAAAACAAAACAAAAAAATACAAACTTCTATGACTCATATATGTACTAACATTTTGTAATCATGTCTTAAAGGATATGAAGAGCTCTATCATTTTCCTTATTATTATTTTTTTAAGTAGTCTACATGCCCAGCATGCAGCCCAATGTAGGGCTTGAACTCACGACCCTGAGACCAAGACCTGAGCTGAGATCAAGAGTTGGAGGCTTAACCGACTGGGGCACCCAAGTGCCCCCCACTTTTGATTTGTATATTTTGAAAATTTAACTCATTCTTCCATAGAGTTGAGGCAGCAGCACACAGAACAAAAAAATACCAGATCAGCCATTACCCATACACTAATTTTTTTTGGCTAACATTGGAATATTCTTTAAAATAAGTAGAGTTGGTGAGAGACAGTAAAGGGCAATTTTTTTTTGTAGAAAAGATTTATTTTCATTGTACTTGAAATATAGTAGTCCAGAAGCCAAAATGAAGCTTTTAGAAATGAAGACTTACGGGGGGGGGGGGGGGAAACAGAAGAAAATATATTTAATAATAACATATAATAAGTATAGGGGTTCTAACTTATTGATTCTTTCAAAATTATTCATTATTTTATCCATTCAAAAATTATTGATCAACTGCCTATTGTGTCTAGGCACCATTCTAGATTCTGATTCTAGATCGTGATAATGTAGCAATGAATAAAATAGACAAAATCCCTGTCTTTATGGGGCTTGCAATTTATTAGGGGGACAGACATGAGGCAAATAAATAAATATATGTAATATATAGTTAAGGACATAGATTATACAATATGGAAGCCAGAACTGAAAGATGAAATGGCAGCTGGAAGGGAGAGTGAGGTAAAAAATGAGTTATCTGCTTTGTTTTGTTTATTTATTTACCAAGTGAGAGAAATCATAGCATGAACTTTGCTCTGGAATTCTTTCTGTCTGGATTGTTTTTTTTCCCCCGAACACAAATCTAATTTTCTTATATGCTTTGCTCAAATGTCATCTTTTCAGTGAGGCCTTTACTGGTCATCTTATTTAAGATTGTGCCCCTCTCCACCTATCAGCACTCCCTATCTGATCTATATCTTCTATATTTTCATTACTGCTTTTGGTTATTATCTGCCTTAGCCTCGTAACAATGCAAGCTCCATGAGGGCAAGAATTACTTTCTGTTATGTTCACTGCTGAGTCCCCAGCGATCTCAACAGTTCCAGACATATACCTGGTATTAAATACATACATCTGAATGAATGTTTGAATGAATTAACAAATAAGCAGCCAGCAGAGTGTTTTAACATATAGGCGAGGCACAGAAAGGACATCGGTTGGGGTGAATATAATGAACACTACAATGAACAATGTACAATAATAGTCTCTGCCATCAGTACCCACCTTCTAGTGACTGGAAATAAACAGACAATCCTACTCCAATGTGATGAGAGTTCTGGGTGTTCTGGAAACACAGGAATTTCCTCCTCTGCTGTGAAATGAAGACAAGCTAATTGAGATGGGGTAATAGCTAAATGAAGACTTGAATATTAGAGCTACCCAGGTGAGGAAAGGCAGAGAGAACAGCATATGCAAAGTAACTGATGATAAGGGAGAGCTTGCTACCTTCTGGGAACTGTAAATATTTGAGGGTAGTGGAAGTTTAAAGGGTATTTTAGGACACCCTGAACATAAAGGACTTGATGCAGAGGACAAGCGAGAGTCACTGAAGGGTTTTACATAGGGAGTCACAAGATCATATCTGTAATGTTGGAGAGAATGATTGGAATGTGGATACTAGCAATAGTTAACTTGGCATTAGGTGATAGTGGACTCAACCTACATAGTGGCATTAAGGGTGGGAAGAAGCATAGAAAATCTGATGATAGTGCATGCCCTTCCCCAGAACAAAAGAATTTGTAGTTCAAGAAAGAATAATAAATCCATTGATGCCTTCCAGTGGTAAATAGGCTATTTGCAAAGTAAGATTAGCTCCTAGAAAAGTTCCATAGCTGAACCTTTCTATCTGTTCTCCTTTAAGTGCCCACAAGTGTGCATTGCTTCTCTAAGTATCATTGTGCATGCATGGAGCTTCAAGGCTAAACAGCAGAAATGGGGAGGGACCCTGGTTCTGTTGTGTCAACTATCTGAAGCATCAGGATGTAGAAGTATCTTTTGTAGGAGCCAGAAAAGGTATCAGGTGTTAGTCTAGGAAAGAAATTGTCTAGAAGGGCAGAAGACAACTTTCTGGACCTTTTTTCCTATTACCTTCACTAAGCCCTTGTTCCTTTCTTTCCCTTGGCTTCACCCAAGAGCGTTGTGTTTTGCCCTTAGCCTGAAGTAAACAGACATTGTATTCTGTTCAACCTCTGATGTTAATTCTGCCTCTTAAGTCACCCTTTCGTCTTCTTCATCTTGCTCATATATCTCACACACATACATGCGTGTGCACACAGACACACACACACACAGACACATACACACATCCTACATTTTTACTCTGGAAGCTCTACCATAATACTTGGCATCTATTCTTCCTGATTTTGCATCTCTGTCATGCAACACAGGTTTTACTCTCAAAAAATGTTGGAATGAATGCAGCTGTGCTAGATATGAAATGAGAAATAGTGTTTCATATTTATAGGAACACCGACTGAAATACCTGAAGTCGAAAGAAGAAAAAAAAACAGAGTAACTGTACCAAGAGGAAGAGAGGAGATGCCAGTATGATAAGTGTGTCTTAGTCCAGTCAGTCTGCCATAACCAGATACCACAGACTGATTGACTTAACTAACAGAAGTTTATTTTCTCATAATTCTGAAGACTGAGAAGTCCAAGATCAAGATGCAGGCTTATTTGGTTCCTGGTAAGGATTCTTTTCCTTGCTCATAGTCAGCTGCCTTCTCACCTCAATGGTGAAGAAAAAGAGAACTCTGGTGTCTCTTCCTTTTCTTATAAGGACACAGGCCCTATCGAGTTAGGGCTCAATCTTATGACCCCATTTAACCTTTATCTCCTCCTCATAGGTCCTATTTCTAAATACAGTCACATGGGGGATAGGGCTTCAACACATGAATTTTAGGGAAACACAATTCATTCCATAGCAATATGCCCATTTAGTGAATCTCTGACAGATGTTCACAAACTCAGTGCTTTTATGTTCAAGTGTTTCCCAGCTTTTTTACATCCATTATCAGCTTTTAAAATGTCATGCATTAGGCATGTGGGCAGTGCTCTAGGGACTAGTGGTTTGTTGCACTGAAAGAGTCTGCACAATGACCTACAAAGAGGCTTGCTGTTTAAGCCAGATGACCTACATTTGAAGTCTAGTTTTGACACTCCCACTTCTGGGCAAGTAAAGTTATTTACATTCTCAGTGCTCATCTATAAGATGGAGATAATACATCCTACCATGTTGTTGTGAAGCCTGAAGGAGTGACATGTATGGAAACATTTGAGGTACGAAAGATGTTCTACAAGTACACGGCCTTTAGACTTCATTCAATCTAGTCACTTGTCTCAGCAACCACTATCAAGATTTCATTTCTTATTGGTAGTGTGCTGATAATTGGCATTTACTATGTGCCAGACAGTGTTATAAGTCACTTTAAGTTTATGTAGTATCTAAATTAATCTTCACAAACATGAAGTAGCTGTTATTATTACTCTCAAAAACAAAGTCAGCTTCTACCGAAATAGAAGAACCTAGTGGCTATTGTTCAGCCTATTCAGAGACAGAAAAAAAAGCTAGAATATGTAAGACAAGAAGTCCCTAAATTCTGAGAAACTACTTAAAATTTTTCTTAAGTTTCTTTATTTATTTTGAGAGAGGCAGAGAGAATGCAAGTGGGGAGGAGGAGAGAGAGAGAGAGAGAGACAGAGAGACAGAGAGAGAGAGAGAGAGAGAGAGAATCCCAGGCAGGCTCCACACTGTCAGTGCAGAGCCCGGCATGGGACTCAAACCCACAAAACCATGAGATTATGACCTGAGCCGAAATCAAGTCAGATGCGCAACTGAGCCACCTCGGTGTCCTAAGAAACTACTTTTGATTTCATTGAGATTCCTGAGATTATGGAGGAAGGTGGCTGGCATTAACAACCTCTAATGACTGCCCCTACTTCTGAAAGGGGTGGTCTGTTAGTTTCCTATTTCTACTGTAACAAGAAGCAAGACCATCATCACCACAGTAAACCAAAACCAAGCACAACCTGAAATAGGAGAGAGGGGTGGGGGCAGAGACTATGAGGAAACAAACACCAAGTCTATAAGGAAGTGAATGGAACAAACATGCAGAAAAGAGGCAGAGATTTAGGAGGTCCTTCATTAACAAGCTCTTTATTCCTTATTAGATACCTTTCAAACTCCTGCTTCTCGCAACCAGAACAGTTTTAATTAGAAGCATGCTTGAGCAGGGTGGAGGCTGTACCTGAAAAATCCTCCACCTACCCTAAAACCCCATGAAAGCATGGAAAGGGGTTGTTGCAGGCGTCACAGAGGATGGGAGGCTTGGAAGGTAAAAGATAAACTACAGGCATGGACAGAAGTCCTAAAATCCAGGACTGCAGGGTTTTCATACTATCCCCATATGTACTGGAGTTTCCCTACTCAATAATTTGTTGTCATGTTTCTGCTCTCCCAATTCCAACATTGCTGTGACAAAAACAAAACAAAACAAAACAAAACAAAACAAAACAAAACAAAACAA